AGGGGAGGGTTAAACTTGGATGGAGGTGTGTGTTTTATCGAAGACATTAATAAAAAAGCAGGGGATTTTCCAGGCCTTCAGCAGGTGGGTCCCCTCTGAAAAAAAGTTCCTGGCTTCTGGCCTGGATTGAAGTAATGTTTTTGACTATTTGTTGTTGTTATTTTGTGGCTAACACAATGCTCTCTCCTGACAGTGCTTGTTACGCTGTAAGAAATGGTGTGCACGTTATTTTATCCTAGACAATAGTACATATATAGGACTGTGAAAAGTGTTGCCAACACTATGCAATTGAAATGGAATATATAGTAGCCAGACACAGGAGGAGCAGATGAGTGAATGGCAGCACACTGCTTGTGCTGCGTTCCGGTAAATCTTTCTCGAACTGATCATACTAGTTTTTTTAGGACAGGAACTTGAGATTCATGGATGTTCTCCGCAGGAAGTGCTAGAAATGGAAGCTTAGGATGGGTAAGAGTAATCCAGATGCTGCTTCATGTTTATTGTGGCAGTATATCATAAGAGTGGATTAATAGAGTTGGGCTTTCTTGCAATTTTCTGGCCATGATTTTACATTTTAAACAAGAAACCATGGTGCTGGCTGTTTGGCAATAAAGGGTACTCATGGCGTGTGCAATATCACATCACATCTTGCTTAAAACTGTGCAATTTGGGTTATGCTAGGAGTATACAGGCCTGTGTAATTTTTTTCTTAACTATACTTTCTTGGCATGAAAACAAAGCAAGAAAGTTTCTGGGATAGTATTTTGTCAATGTCCAATAACTAATATTCTTTTTTATTGTCACCACATTATGCAGACTTAATGCCTTGAATAAATAAATAGTTAATAATATTATCTTTTAATGCTGTCTTTTCAAAATGAGTGTAAAAAGCACTGATCCTTTATCGTATTAGGGTAAACACACGCCTCTTAGTACCCTTCATTAAGACAGCGGTCATTGATACCACTAACTTGAACCACCGATGCGCAGTTCAGTTCAGCCTGGTTCACTGCTTTTAAGACACAAAAAACGCCAAAAAAGCCGAGCACACTTGTACCATTATATCTTCTTTCACACAGTAAGTCTCCACATTCAATATAATATGTCAACACTATAGGATAAATTTCCTTTGCTGTTCCTTCTTTAACAATATGCAGTGACCTTTCTTTTATTTTAGTGTTGTCTAAAACTTTCAATAACATGATGATGGGATGGGTTTGACCACTGTGGTGAAACATGCATCAGTGATTTGCATACCACAACCCTCCTTTTCATGACATCTTTCTGTGGCCTTATCAACACAGCTGTAGCCCTGCTTTGTGTCAGTGATGTCGCATGACACCACTGTGATCTCAACTTGTAATGACTATGTTTGCCATAAATGTTGGATATAATGAAGGCATTTCATTTTGGACACTTCAGCGTGTGGGTATAATTTAAGACATACAAAGAACTAAAACAGTCACAAACAACCAGTGGCACTTCGTCTGTGTTGTCCTCTTTCTGTATGTCTTCATTTGCACTTACACACTACGTTTTAACGGAATGCACCGAATTGCCCCCCCCCCCCCCCATATGAAATCTTATTGCAACATTTCTTCTGTTGCTTTTCCTGCATTGTTTCCAATTTGTAGTAGGAGTGTGTTCAAAATTGTGGACATTTGAAGCATACCAGTTCCATGTGGCACAGGACTTTACTTCACCTGTCACTTGTGCCTGCATCACAATATGTGTGTCACACTAAATTCCTAGGCAATGCTCCACATTCCACGATCATTGGTATGCAGCTAGAAGCTTTCGCGACTGCTGTGCACATCAAATTCGAATATAGTCATTACTCACCTTGATGTGTGATGGTATGCTAGATTTATAAAGCAGGTTGTAGACGAGACCTGTGTAGCGATCTCCATTTTACTCTAAACAACTTTATAAGATCTTGTACTCACTGTTGCTTTTTTTTTCTTCCGAATTTGCTTAAAAACCACTTTCGGTCCACAGTTCAGCAATACGCTTCAATTTTTTGTTTGTATAGTTTGCCTTTGAAAAATCACTGCATATGCACCTTTCTTTCTTTCACCTGAGTGCCTTATTGTTTGAAAGGTAATATAAAAGAATGGAGTATACAAAGCTATGTTTCCAAAGCACAGTTGTGCATGTACAAATAACCTGTAAGCCAAAGAGCTTGAGGAGCACTGCATTTGTTGACAGTTGAGCTTCTCCTTGCTTCCCATTTTGCCATGCGGGACTCTTGTCATCTTTTTGTAATAAAGCTTTATTCTCAATATATATTTTGTTGTTTGTTTTTACTAAATGACCTTGATCAATTCTTTATGTTCCAGGAGCAATACAAATGTATTTAACTAAGGAGAACATTTTGTTGAATTTCAACAAGATTCAGCTGTGTTTTTTTTCGATCTGCTAGAAGCTTCTGCTGTTGTACTTGAATACAACTGAAGGCAGAGAAGTCATAAATGCCCTACATATGCTGAAGAGAGATATGTGAAGTTGCATTCACAAGACTAGACCTTAAATTTATCAATGTACAAGAAATATATCGTTCCAAAGCTCACAGAGAAGCCTTGGACGATGCCAGCGGATTTCTTCAGTCCACATTAGACTTGACTAATCCATATGATGTACATAAAGTAGAGTAAACACATAGGCGTACGAGCCGGGGGGGGGGGGGCAAGGGAGGTGCGAGCCCCTCACTTTCGACAGTGGTCACCATGGCTGCACGCTGGGGAAATGAACAAGTAAGGTGTAGTTTTCCATCACAATAGTAATTACTCAATTATATCCTTACGGGAGAATGAAATAGTTACGAGGCTATGTTACAACATAGTGAAATTTTGCCGACATTGCCGCCTTCATAATTTTTCTTTATATATATATATATATATATATATATATATATATATATATATATATATATATATATATATATATTCCAGATGACGAGTATGGCAGGCTTGCCCCTCCACTCGTGAAAGAGTTGGTAGGCCACTGAGTACACAATATAAATGTTTTGCCCATTTTCAGGGTCATAATGGCCCTTGCTATGTTTGTGTAGCCTGGTCTGAACATATCTGCTTAGGTTATGACAAATGTAATGAGCGACAGTACAATTATCTTATTACAAATTATGGTGGCTTGATGCGTAATTAGTCTGGTTTAGGTTGAGGACATTTGCAGCGAGACTGCAATATTTGTGCCTACATCATCTTATTGGTGTCTCACCACTGTGCAGCAGCTGCGCTGAGAAGTGTAGGACGCGGGGCGAAAAATGGCGTCGTGGCGGCATCAGCTCCTTCAAAGAATGGCAACACCTTGCACGCATCAAGGCACACTATTAAAAGTGTGCACAAAGAGCCATCTGGTGGAGGCTAAGAGTACTAAGTTTAGTATGACACGATTGAACTGTAAGCTTTTCTTTCTTAGACGAGCGCTGAAACTTTCCACTCCTAATGTTCGTTTACTTGCGTACAAATCAGTAGTTCGACCAGCATTAGAATATTGCGTCGTTATCTGGGATCCATACACAAAGACAAACATCAGCACGCTGGAAAACGTACAAAAGAAGGCTGCGCGCTACATATTTAACAAATTTGGGCGCATTTCAGTTACCGAACTTCTACGACGAGCCGACTTATCGTCGTTAGCACACAGGAATCTTTTATCGCGACTGAAGTGTTTCTATCAAATAATCAAGGGGCATTATAAAATAGATTTTTCAGATGTAATTTCATTTTCAGCTGGGTACGCGACCAGACAAAGACACCAACTAACAGTCACCCCCCATCGCACACGTACTAACTGTTATAAGTATTCCTTCTTTCCCAGAACTATTTCCGATTGGAATAAACTTCAGAATTCACAAGTTCTACAGCCTTCTCAAAGTTTGTTTGAGCCCCACTTTAATTAGCATTGTATACCAATCCTCTGTTTTTGTAACAACTTTTTGTACCCGAGAAAAAGAGCCATTTCCTCTGTGTTGAATTGTACAGTTGTTGTAAACCATGTATCCTTTTTATGCACTGTAACCCACCTGCTAAAATCCCTATCAGGGATTGCAGTATTTATAAATAAATAAATAAAAGAATATTGCACCATGCACCTGTCCTACCATGTGCTTGCACTGAACCTGCTGTCAATGTGCAGAAATTTGGATATTCAGAGTTCCTGACAAGATTTTGTGACACATCCTCGCAAATAAGAGGACTGTTTTAAGAGCCTTACAATTTTATTGTTGGTCAAAACTTAGCAATCTTGACATCATAAAATTTGAAATATGAAGGAGTTACTGCTAAATGACATCCTCATATAGATGTTTGACTGCTGGTGTTAAAAAAATTAGTGACAGTTCACTTTCAAGAACGCAAATTCGTTGCATGTGTAAGGTAGCCATTTCCTTTTCACGCATTGTGCTTAATATGCTTTTCTGTCTGGCCTTGTGCAAGACACTGCAATGGGCTTACAGGCAGGCTTCACGCTGTTCCACAATTCGAAAGCTACGCTGCGTTGCCCCTAAACACCCACCTTGCCGCCACCAAGAACATTTTCTGAGAGTGTCCTTGTCCTGGACACATGAAACTCATACCTTTTGCTGGTCTTGTTCGGCTCTTGCTCAGCAACGACTTCAGGGTCGGCCAACTTGCACCTGACCTGCCGCCACTTATGTTGCTGCTTCGCTATTCTCAATCAGTGCTTGGGGCTCTCTCACACCTAGCTTACATAGAGCCCACAGCAACTGCCGGAGCAGATCAACCCAACATGCTTCCACAGACCCTCCCATGCCCTGACGGTTCGTTTGCGCGCTCCTCCCCTGATGCTTACATACTTCACGGCTTTCAACTTGTTCATTTCACAGACAGAACATGCATGATTGTGTGTGAAGAACATAAAGCTACTTTCGACAATGAAGGAAGGGTGCCTGCAGAAAACAATCTATTATATTAGCAGTGAGCACAATGCAGGCACCCTTTTGCATCCACAATATCTTGTGCTCAAATTCAGCATGTCACATTTATTGAAGAAAATGTTACAATTCGATATGGTTCGAACCTGCAGACTTAGTAAACAGATTCATAACTTATAGCATGATGTGTAACATAATGCGCAACTTGCACAAGGTTTTAAAAAAATACCTGTCACTTAGAACAGTTTTGGTTAAACCAACTTAACAGCAGGTTTCATCAATCAATCACAACACAAGCCCTCTTGACATTTACATCTTCAGTGTCGTCCGACACTTTGCGTTTCAGGTTTTTCCTGTCAATTTCCATTGCCTCCTCATCATCATTTTCAATGATACACAAGTCGTCAGTGCTAGTGTCATCAAAGCCACGTTGCCCTTTGCTCTCATCATCCTTATGGTTATTACTGTCTACTACATCATTATCAGGTTTTAGCTGGGAGACGTCGCCTGCGATTTCAATCGCTGTGCCATCTGCATTTTCATCATGGATAATGTTAACCGTAACCTTAAAATTTTGCAGGAAGTCATCACAGCGAAGCCGTGAACCATGAGTGACACCTAAGCTTGCAAGATGCATAGCCCGATTTGAATCAGTTTCACCTTCTTCACTTGAAATGACAATGGTCCCTTTGCCGTCATCAAGCTCCACATCGGGTGCTGCCATTCTAATTTGTTCCTTGAGCACCTTATCCTCAAAAGTGCCAACAGTCATCTGCTTAGTGTTAAGGGCAATGTAGAGCTCCGACTTTGATGAGCATGTGTAACACTTAGGATTGGGACCAACAAGCTGAGCCGGAATAATAAGCTTTTTTGTTGATGAGGGCTGCTTATTTAAGAACACCTGCTTACAGCTTGTTCTACAATCTTCCAACTTCCCTTGCAGAAGCTTGAAAGCCTGAAGCACTATAATGCCTGCAATGATGGCGTTAGTTGTTGCTATGGCAGGGATGATATTTCCTGCCATTGCTTTTACATTAAACCTGCTAGTCTGGGGTATACCAAAGCAGTGGGCACGGAGGTTGGCGCAAGCAGTCACAAAATCCATACACTCGTCGTTGTCTTTGTCCCACACCAAATGGTCGCCTTCACTGAGCTCCACTGCTCGGGCTTTCAGCCTTCCAACGGAATCGTTGAAAGCTCGGCGGCACTGGTCCAAACTCCAGCGCCGGTGGTCGAGCATGCCAGAGTCAGCCGAGTCGTCGCTGCTGCTGCAAGCCGTCGTGTCCGGCAAGTTGTCCCACTGCAGAGGTGTCGGAGGCTTTCTGCGTGACCACAGCTTCTCCATCTGCAGCAGGTACCGAATGTCGTCACCGAAGAGTTTGTTAAAGAGCTTCTGCGGGTCGTAACCGCACTGCGTGGCCCAGAGACGCGTGGAGACGCGGCATACGTTGCCTGTGGCGTCTGTGTTTTGTTTGAGCATTTCCTCTAGGCTAACTTCCCCTCTGAGCTCGGGATCCGTAGAGTCCGGCGATACGTCTTCGTCGGGGTCAGCTTCGCCGAAAAGCTGGTTGAAGAGGTGCTTTGCCCACACAATGCAGTGTATCGGCTCCGAAGGCGTGTTGCGAATGGTGCATCCCGGATAAGTCTTCTCGGCAGGCTGTGGCTGGCACTCGTAGCATTCGGTGACTCCTTTGAAGATGGGCGTTACTTGCCCCAAATACCCGGCGCTGCCGCTCTCGATCAGCGGCACTTTGGCGGCCAGGCACATCCGATTCACGTGGCTGCGCGCACTGCGATTGTCAAGAGCATTCATGACAATGTCGAAGCGCTTGAAGAAGTCCAGTCCATACTCGGGCTTCATTATACTGTCATGGTGAGCCGCAATCTGTACGTGCGGGTCAAGCTTCTCGGCGCTTTCCTTGGCGATGAAGGCTTTCGACTTTCCGACGTGCTCCTTCCTGAACAGAAATTGCCGGTTCAAGTTACTCACGTCTATTGTATCCAAGTCGATGACTTCAATGCTGGAGAAGCCGGAGAGCACTAGGTTTTTAAGTAGCTCGCAGCCGATACCGCCAGCGCCGACAACTAAAACGTTAGATTTTTTGACATCTTGAACGCGCTGAACGAAGCCGGCGTCCGCCATTTTGCAAACTTCGCGCCGCGCGTTCATAGAATCGCGTTTGTCTCGCGATGCCGTAGTATTCGAATGCTCGAACGAGACAATAAATGATATATTTTGGACCTTCTGTTCCTAAAACTCACCATTGATTTCACAAAGTTTACTTTAAAAGAACTTGTTTTCGATTTCGAGAATTTCATTCAGCTCTTACGAAACTGCACCCGAGTTGGTCAGCAAACAACATGGCGGTGCAGACGTTGCTGTGCTGCTTACTTTAGCTCCGTGCGCGTATGTGTTAAATTAAGTTTATTTCTTCAAGTGTTACGAATTTGTTACTCGTGTGGTCTTCATCTATTCCGCTTGTTAAAACGATGCTTATTAATGTGTTCAAGTGGTCTGCAAGGTGCTGCCTGCCTTGCGACTGGAAATTCTGCGGTTCGTTTCGCGTCGTGAAGTCGGCGTCAGCAGGTGTTCGCGAAACCGCCGTCGGTGCGTGGTTTTATGCATGTATTGGAAATCACAGTGGCCTTCATTTCCACTCGGCGTTGGTTTTGCCGTGCAAAATTGCTGTCAACGGCACAATTACGGATCCTCTGTGGTACCACGCTTGAACGCTGAATGTGAATCGCGATGCTGTATCCGGCACACATCTCAACGGAGTCGCGTCGCACGGATGATTTCTTGAGTGATATTTATCGGTGTTACATTAGTTGATTATTTCAGGTCAAGGACAATTTTAACATTTTTCTCGTTGATTTTCTAAACAACCGACTGCCAAACTCTGCAGCGTAAGTATGCGCTTTCCCGTCATTATCTAAACAACGAACAGCTCCCTGCCAGTGCTTGTTTGGTGGTCGAGCTTTCTTTCAAGTCGATCGAAGGGTAAAAAAAACTAAATGGTAATTTTTTTACATCTTCTTTCTTATTAATTTGACTTTAGTAATGAAACATTTTACATTTCTTTAATTGTTCAGCTTGTTAAACTTGTTCATAAAGTTGGCTTCCAAAGTCTATCCGAGTTCTCGGAAAATTAGAGAGCTTAGAGGAATAAATGTACGTTTCGGCCCGTAGAATAATCATACATCCCCGCAAGTAGCGTTCACGCGGAAACCTTGCCCTAGGATTGGTTTAGCTCATCCTTACGAACACAACTTTTGAGCGTATCGAGCACGGGAAACGTGCAACACTTACAGATGTCGCAACAATTCACTGTGTCAGCGCTATGAGCGGTCGCTTCAGTTCCCACCAGCGGGCTACAAAATAGTCGTCTCCCCGTATGCTACGTCCGTGTTGTCTGCAAATGCGTGTGCACGAAGGCGACAGGTCTTGTAAGGGTATATAGGCTTTCAGAAAGTTAACAGTGCAGCAATTTTTAGGGCCTCAAACGAAGAGAAAGGGCATACGTTATACCGAAACAGTCATGTTTTCGACGTGGCCGAAAGCACGGACGTGCTACAGAGTGTTTTGAAAAGGCGATGCTTGTGGCAGTGTAAACCTGGAAGCTTGTTATTTTTATCATTTTGTGTGCTTATCACTGACATTGACTATCACATTTGTGGCCAACATGTACTGTAGCAGGATCTTAAAATTCTCCAACTACCCGTGTGATGGGTGTAAGTAAAACGGTCGATCACTGAACCATGTTGCAATTAGTGATGCCATAGCAGGCAGTGGCATGAAGTTTCCTGTGCTGCAGTTCAGCTTTGTTTGTAGATATTGTTCAGGCTCTATGGGTTCTTGAGCACTTTCACGTGCCAGCTTTCCACGTGCTATCTTAGCAATCACATCAAGCACTAGAACGGTGTGGTGGGGATTTACTTGCGGTCCTACTGCAGTGCTTTGGAGAAACTGCAGTCGTACTCCAGTTCCTCGAGCTGCGAGCACTGTTTGAGAAGTTGAATTCATTGATGAATTTCTGCCAATTAAATATAAACTGCTGACTGTGGTGTCCTGAAATGAGAGCACCACATAAGAACACATGGACACAGCAGACGCAGTCGTGTAAACCAACATTATATACATTTACTTGTCTTTACTACGACTAGCAGACATGACCATGCAAACTTACACAATGTACACTGTCGTCCTTTAGGAAAGGGAACACGCAAACGCATGGCCTGCACTCTGTGGCAGCTGCCTACAGCACTATCAACCGACAGCAAAAGAAAACACGTTCGCTTTCAGCGTCACCTGTTGCACACCTGTAGTGCGTATAGTCCACTGCCAACATATCAAACGTTGTGCGCGACCACGGTGCAAGCTGCAGTGTTCGCCTAATATCACAACACAAGGGAACGTAATCTAGCAGTGCTTGTGTACCGGCCATGACTCGTTAACTTGCTTGGCCATAGATGACGTCAAAAGCGAACGTGCTTTCTTCACTTGTCGGTTGGTGGTGCTGTAGGCAGGCACCACAGGTCGCAGGCCACCCGTTTGCATGTTCCTTTTCATAAAGAACTCGGAGTACATTCACTTGCTTTTACAGTGACAATATCTCCAGTCAAATCAACTACATCGCTAGTGACACACTAAACAACCTTATGCAATCATTCAATACAAAACTCAAGTAAAAACAACATAAACTAAACCAACACAAGGTAATGAGAATGCAACATCGCCAATTTTCGACTCACCCTGAGGTATCCACGGGAAATGATGGCAATTTTCATGTACATCTATTGTCCTTCTAAAGTGAACTGTACATAAATGAGCATTGCAGTTTTGATGACAACTGTAACTAATTGATGTGTGTGCGTTGCATTACGCAGTCAGTTTTTAAGCTTCCACACTAATGACCGGCATCCTCACCTGAAGAAGAATGGGAAGGCTGCACTTCTACCTTGTGAAATGATAAGTAGCTAACAGCTGTGAAAATGTTGACACATATAACACCAAAAACAGCCTATGCATTGATACAAAATGCAGTAGTGAGCCCGTTGTTCAACAAAGAAACATGCAGCCTTTTGTTTGGTATCAGCAACAGGGCTGTTTCTTCTACTGCAGTGTCTGTTTTTTTGCAGCATACGTTGATCATATTCCTATAACCGTGAATGACACGTGTTCTTGTTAAGGGCAGTTAAGCCACTGGTGACATCACGAGTATGGGACCACCATTGATACCTACCTAATACAACCTCTTTGAACTTTTGTAATCCTGCTAGAGCTGACTGCGTTTCCACATATTTCTAGTTCTATAATTGACTCACTGCAATGCCTTGGCTGTTCAGGAAATTTTGGTGATGCGTTTGCAACATGTGGAACAAACCCCAAGTCTGCAACGGCATAGGTGCTCATATTGCCTTACAAATTCATAGTGGGTACTTCAGCCAAGTTTTGTTCCGAGATTGTTAAAACGTTCATACCAGGTATAGCTTTTGTACATTCGTTTAGTGAACTGGGATTGCGAAAGCACACACAATAGCCACATAGCACGAGCGGTTGTTCTGTGTGGCTCTTATCTTTGTCTTTTATGTGTTTCCGTGCTCCCAGTTCGCTGAACGAATATGAATTCCCTATCAGCCCACTTCTCTGTCCTGTAGCTTTTGTGGACCCACTAGCCAAATGTATTTGTGAGAATAGCTGACTACCAAGTGGGCAAACCACTCTTGAGTTACACTTCCTGCACCAGAGGTTACACACACTGCTTCCATCTCTCCTTTTAATTCATTCAAGAAAAATTCAATCACTCTTCTAAGAATGAAGCCTTTCTCATAAAAATTATCAAAAAATATTGAAAGAACATTCTGCTCATCTGTATTATTTTAGTGACTTTTGTTAATATCCTTCGCCAGGGGTGATTCAGAAAACTTGGAACGCTTTTGCTCCTCTCATTTCTGTGCCATAGTGAAGACAACCACAGTTCACAAGGCTGCCCATAAAACAGCAGTCTCTGCACGCTAACCAGGATGGCTGTTAGTATTTGACTCTGCCAGTACTGGTATGTAGCTGGACTTTAATTGACCGTTTGAGGTATTCGGGCACTTTGTGGGCACTGCAAAATTAGTGAGAGGTAGCGCCAATAGTGACACAGTTTGGCCCTCCTTACTTGGCTAATGGTCCTTCGGAAGAGTAACAGTGTCTATGGTGATGCCTCTTCATGCTTTGCCAGTGCTGAGAGTGACCGTCTGTCGATATCAACGAGATCAGGTGGCGGTGGGCTGTGGATGACAGCACTAGCATAAAATTGAGCAAAAGGCATGGCTACGAAATAGTGGCTTTGATCTTGTTCCTTGTCATACAACCTCACCGAAGTTGCCTTATGAGACCCCGCATATATGCCTTTGCCAACGGTTGCACTTGTCTAGTTATGATATGTGCACAGCATGATGTGCAAATACTGCATCAGTAGTACTGCTTGACTTTGAAGTCAAGCCTTTGCTTTGGCAATTGTCAATTTTCGAGCATAAGGTGAAGTGCATCATTAATATTATTGATGTTTCAATAAATAATAAGGTGGAAGTTGTCACTTGAATCTCTCTTGAACTGTATTTGTGGTACTGTTCATACACTTGCAGCACTTGCTCTTGATTGGTGTCTTCTTTCCAGTTATTTGTCTTGAAGACGTATGATTTATATTGCAGGGAAGGAGCGGTTAACTAACAGACATTATCATTCTTAATGCACAGCAGCCCTTTTTGCCTTAGCAAGAAGTAGCTGTCGAGCCTGACTAACCGCATTTTAAAAGCTTTCTTTTAAAAGTTTTGTGTCATTCATATACAGTAATACAATAGTGCATATTCTTGTGCATCCAAGTCATAAGCTCCCAGTCTTTATTTTTCACCACCACTCGAAAGGCTCTTTCTTTCTTTTTTTTCTTTCTTTTTTTTGAAGTGACATGTATTTTCATATATGTATTCACAGGAGTTCAAAAATGCACTGTACTAGTTCGCTTGATCCCTTAAAGACGCACAATGACTATTTTTGAGGGAACATTAGGTAAAGATATAGGATACTTCTAAAGACATTTTGTACAGTGGCACTCAGCATGAACTGCAAAACAGAGCCTGGTGTTTAAACTGAAAGGCATATGGTAGAAAACAGTGTTTAGGAAGGTC